ACAGACCTCCTGGGGCCCCACACAGACCTCCTGGGGCCCCACACAGAGCTCCTGGGCCCCGGCCCCCCCCCCGGGCCCCTGCGGGGGAAGGCGTCCTGCCGGCGGAAGCGGGAGTTCATCCCGGAGGAGAAGAAGGACCCGCAGTACTGGGAGCGGCGGCGGAAGAACAACGAGGCGGCCAAGCGCTCGCGGGAGAAGCGGCGGCAGAGCGAGCGGGTGCTGGGGGGCCGGCTGCTGGCGCTGGGGGAGGAGAACGCCGCCCTGAGGGCCGAGCTGCGGGCCCTCAAGCTCCGCTTCGGCCTGCTCAGCTCCAGCGCCTACGCCCGGGAGCTGCAGCCCCCCCCCCCGGGCCCCCGGAGCCCCCCCCGGGGCCCCCCCCGGGGCCTCGGGTGTCCGTCATCCGGCCCCCGTCCCTGCTGACGGCCGCCGTCAAGCAGGAGGAGCCCGGGGGCCCCCAGGACCTGCCCCGGCCCCGGCCGGCCCCCGCCCCCCCCGGCTCCTCCAGCAGCTCCCCCCGCAGCTCTGAGGACGAGCAGCGGGTCCCCAGGGGCCCCCCCGCCCCCCCCGGCCGCTCCGCGCTGCCCCACAAGCTGCGCATCAAGGCCAGAGGGGTCAGCGTCAAAGTGGAGGCCCCGGACCCCGAGTACGAGGGGGGGGCCGGCCCGGAGCCCGGCCAGCCCCTGTCAGAACAGGTCAGCAGCATGCAGCGCTGGAGCCCCCCCCACGGGCCCCTGCTGGGCCCCGGGCCCCTCCAGGCCTCGGGGGACATGAAGCACAGCTCCTGGGGGGCCCAGGACCTGTGTGTGAGGCCGGGGGGGGGCGGCCTGAGGGCAGCACACACACCCGGGGGCAGCTGCTCCCCCCGGGGCCCCGCCGGCACAGGGCCCCTCTGAGGGGCCGGCTTTAGGGGCCCCTGGGGCTACAGTAGGGGCATCTGGGGCTCCTGTAGGGGCCTCCAGGGGACCGGTGTTAGGCCTGGGGCCCCTGGGGGAAGTAGGGTGGCCCTACCTGTACTGTGTGACCCAGTAAGCCTACCACCCTGCACCGCGGGGCCCCTGGGGGCCTCCCTGTGACACAAACATGGCTCCACTCACTATGCCTCCACACTTTGTTTCATATTGTTGAGTTTGTGTTGCTGTTCGCAATTAAACCTTTTTAATAAGACTTTCCACAAAAACCTGTCAGCCTTTACTGACTGGAAAACTGTGTGTGTGTGGGGGGGGGGGGGTTTCTTTATTTTTATAAGACTTTTTGACGGATAAACATACAAATCAATGAAGTCCAGAAAATTGTAAACACAACAGTTTTCTGTCACTTTGAATATAAAAAAGAACCAACAACACACAAACCAACATGCAATGGATGTCAACAACAACAAAACCAAAGACAAAGTCCCTACGTTACACCACATATCTAACCTAGAGTTTCACATCTATCCCGTCATGTCTGCTGTATAATCCTGACTGGACAGCTCTTCTCTCCCTCAGGAGGCCACTTTCCCTCCACAGGTTTTTAAACTACTACAACTACTAACAACGTAAAGCAGAGTAAAGGACACACACACACACACACACACACAGGTAGCAGCACTTCTTCACCTGTGCTGGCCAGAGGTGCACATCTGTATTGTGATTGGTTTATTTTTTATAATTCAAATTTTTATTGGAACATATGGAACAAAAGATGGTTGTGGTTAATTACATATAAACAGTGGAAAGGACCAGAAATCAACAAGACACTAAAATAAAATAATAATAATAATGGTAGAGATGACATGCTCAGACAAAATTAAATGAGAAAACCTGTACACTAATAATACATAAATAAATAATACCAAATTAGGATTATACAAATATTCTTAGGCCTTATATATTCTTAGGTATATAAGACTCTTCTGTACAGCTTCAATAGGAGGTGATGTGGTCCCTGAAATAGTCCCACACTCCCAGTTCACCACAGGGGGAGTTCCACTCCTGTAAAGTTGGACACACTTTGATGGCTGCATGTTTGATCCGACACATCTGGGGGGGGGGGCAGCTCACTGTCCACCCGGGGGGGGCGTGTCCGTGGACATGAGGCAGGAGCTGGGCCCTGAGCAAACCCCCCCCCCCCCCCCCCCCCCCCCCCCCCCCCTCCCCCCCCCTGTTGGGCCCCGGGCCCCAGACCCCCCGGGGGGGGGGCCCGAAAGGGGCCCCCCGGGGGGGGGGGGGGGGAGCTCTGCCCTGGCCCTCAGGGCCCACGTGACAGCTCCACGTGACAGGGTTCAAAGTTGAAAGTCAGACGGCACCGCAGTTCTCAATCATGGCGCTCGCGACGGGACGTTTGTGGGAAAAACTCGGTGCGCACGCGGTGCTCCGCGCCTGTGCACGCGCGGCGCGTGTCCCGCAGCGGCGCTACAGCTCCGAGCCAAAGGACGAGCTGAGGGTCCGCTACCTGGACGGGGAAGACGCCGGTGAGTCCCGCTGCCATTGCTTTTAGCAGCGGCTGTGTCCGCACGGGGCGGAAGTGACGTAGAATGCATGCGACGCGGAAGCGGACGCGCTGCGACACGGCGCGTAATAATAGAGTCATTCTACACCGCAATAAATCATTATTTTACAAAGAGTGGATGGAGAAAAATTGGGTCTATTATTATTATTATTATTATTATTATTATTATTATTATTATTATTATTATTATTATTATTGTCATTATTATCATTATTTATATGATTATTATCCTAATGTATTCTAATGGTTTCTTGTTAAATTACTAACAATTTAGTACAAAATATAGGTTTTTTCCCTCCAAAAGCTGAATTTACCATTTTACTTAACGCCAAAGCAATTAATTAATCAGATTAAAAATATAATCACATATCATCCGATGAACCCACAACTACCCAACTTATCTATTAATGGAACATCAATCACTGACCACAAATTCAATAACCACACAATTAGAAACTGTCTAAACGAAACTTTATTCCCTGGGAAAATAGATAAAAATAACATTCTTTGCTAATTTGGATGTGGCAAAGTGGAGAGTCAGTGATCAGACAGAGAAGCGTGTAAATCTCAGGGTTTGTCATTGGCCAAAGTTTGTCCTGTTATGTATGCCGAGGTAGTTTGGTGTCTGATGCTTTAAGCCACATCAGAGCTGCTCACCCTAAAAAACAAGCTGAGGCTTCATTTACCAGTAACAGCTGTCAAAGTGGCCTTGATCTGTCAGTTTGTCCGGATATCTATCTATCTATCTATCTATCTATCTATCTATCTATCTATCTATCTATCTATCTATCTATCTATCATAAATGTGAATATCAAAACGATTAATCAAAACCAGTTGAATGTAAATGTTTGTGCTTTTTATTCAGAAAACCCTCAAATCACATCTACTTTTCAGGATCTGGTTCTTATGGACACAGATTACATTTTAAATGTCAATATTTCAATATCTATATTACAGTACCAGAGTTACACGCATTAGTAGCAGAAAACTCTCAGGATTAAAGTACAGATACTGGTTTGGTGCTTGCTCATATCCTAAACATCCGGAGTATACATTTAGAATCATCATTTTAAAAGTTACAGACCTTATTTATGTGCGTATTTGTTTCCAAGATATGTTAGTGTGTGAGTGGGTGAATAAGGTGCATTAACTTAAAGCTGGTTGTAGAAAGGCGCTTTATGAAGTTCAGTCTATTTTCTTTTATTAGTTTAGGGCAGTTCTGCCACAACCAAGATGGTGGACGCACTGACGTATCCTAGCAACGGACCAACCTGCTCAATATGGAGTCTGTCCGTGGTTAGAAAGAACAGATGGTGGAGCAGCTTCTCTGACCCCTCTGAGACGGGATGCTCCTCATTTTGGGGACATTCAGGAGGGAAGGAGGTAGAAAGCTGTCTGATCTGAGGCCGGCCACCCATTCTGCCTGATGTTGTCGTTACCCTTTAACTTTGTTCTCTCCTCTGTCTTCCAGGGATTGTCGTTGTTGGGCTTAATCGACCCAAAGCGAAAAATTCCATCAGCAAAAATCTGGTCAAACTGGTGCGTATGTCCTTTTTTGTTGCTTTTTCGATCCATGTTTCATGATAAAGAAGAGACATAGTCAGCTGGACTGCTCAGCCTCTGAAGAAGAGCGTGTCCTGATTGTCTTTAAAGGACAATGTGTAGTATTTTAGGTATTTTAGAAGCTAAAACCATGTTCTTCCTTACTAAATGTTCCTCATTTGGTGTAAAATGACTTCTGACATGATCTGACTTCTCCTCATGAGGAAGAGTTTCCTCTCTGTACGTACACAGGACGGGTAAACACAGGGGTTTCCATGGTGATCTGCCATTTTGAAAAACTGTAATGGCAGAGAGGGACATAAAGCACTAGTCTGCCTGTCCAGCTGATCCACAACGCGTTTTCCTCCAGAGTCACGTGACTGAAAGCAGCTCTGAGAAAGCACCTTTATCCAGAAATAACCAGTTCCAGAACACATCACTACTGATTAGCTCAGCTTTTCAGTCTGAGATTCAGACTGGAACATTCGTTTGTGTGTCCAGTTGTTAGGTAAGGCACACAGGTAAGCAATGCTAAGCTACAAACAGAAAACAAGCTAACGTAGCAGCGTGATTCTCCGTCTGGTTGGAGGAGGAATTACATGCTCACACTAATGATTCAGAGCAGTGTATAGTTTCTTTTAAACTCCAAACCTCATCACCAGAAAACCGATGATGGTGGAATCATGCTGTCGTTACTTCCTGATGCCTGATAGCGACCGTAGCTGCAGTACCCATTTGGAAACGGGGCCGCTAGAGAGCAGATTAGTTAGGATTCAGAACACAGATTCACCCTCAGATGGAGGAAGTCCACCCTAACCCTAATCTAGTTTTCTCTCTTGTGTTTATCCTCCAGATGTTTGAAGCTGTGGAGGATATCAGGAAGAACAACAAGGTGCGCAGCCTCATAGTCTGCAGCCTGGTGCCCGGTGTCTTCTGCGCAGGTACCTGTCTGTGGGAGGAGGGCCCCCCCCCCCCCCCCCACCTGGTCCCAGAGCCTAAGCAGCTGCTGCTCCGTCTCTGTGTGCAGGAGCCGACCTGAAGGAGAGAGCCAAGATGCAGCAGAGCGAAGTGGCTCCGTTTGTGTCCAAAGCCAGAGCCCTCATCACCGAGCTGGGTAA